TAGTCTATTCTACTTCACTCTAGTCTATTCTACTTCTCTCTAGTCTATTCTACTTTTCTCTAGTCTATTCTACTTCTCTCTAGTCTATTCTACTTCTCTAGTCTATTCTACTTCTCTCTAATCTATTCATACTTCTCACTAGTCTATTTTACTTCTCTGAAATTCTGAGTGTTAAAGTTTAAGCCACCATGTTATAATGCTTATCCTAACATGAAAACTTGTCAAACTGACAGAGTCAAGACTCAAGACATCAAGATACAACTTCCCTCCCCTTTCTTCCTGGAGAGCAAAGTAAAGAAGGGGAAAAGCAAACAGAAGATTAAAAGAAGAGGGAAGGTGAAAAGGAAAGGGAAGTGCATATGTATTGGGAAAAGTAAGGAGAATGGTGAGAACCAATTTTTAAAACTATTGTTTGATAATTAAATTTTTGGACAATTGCATTGTTTTCTATTTGTTAAAATTTCAATAAAGATTAAATCAACAATTAATTTTTGTATTTGAAAAAAAAATTCATTTATAAATTGATTATATTGAAGATTATATTCTATGTGTAAACCTATATTTCTATTTTATTTTCAGAGAATTCAATTCTGTAGGTGTTATGTAAATTATCAAAAAAGTAAGATTTAAAACCAAAATTCATACAGTCTATTAAGTTAAAAACTCATGCTTTTATTGTTGCTTTGTAATAATTAGAAAGTGGAAATTTTAAGAAGATTTAAATTTTTTTTCAAATTTATGAAATTAATATAATACTCTTTGGAATTAAAACAGAATACGTACAGTGAAACCCTTAATAACATACACTACACATTTTTTAAGTAAATAAGAACGGAAGACATACAGTTAAACCCTAAATAAGAATTAATCAAATGTCGTATTCTTCACTTTCTGATAATGGAATGTTGCAGATATTTAGTTTTTTAATTAAATGATTATATGGAACTCTTTAAAACTGTTCCCGCATATACATGGATATTTATTTATTTTCGCAAATACTGAAATTTACGTATTTAGTATAAAACTCATTGAAAAATTGTCAAGACGACATTTGATAAATTCTTCCGAAGTATTCGTTATTAAGGGTTTCACTGTACTAGAATTGAAACTGTTCTCAAACTAAAATATCAAATAAAGAGGAAAAAATGGTTCAGCCTGCAGGTTTATTTGTCATATTAGAAAAATACTCCATGTCCAAAGTTGTTGCCAATACAACTCCAAGCTATGAGATCATATGGACTCAACTAGGGTTTCCACCAGAATTCCGTGTTACGGTTTACGTACGGAAATGATCCTGAAATTTTTTTCCATTTCCATTATGGAAAAGGTTCCGGAAATCCAGAATTCCGGAACGATTTCTAGAACGATTTTTCCCGTAAACCGCAAATTTCCGGAACGATGTAGAAATTTTGCGAATTTGAAGTTTCACCAATTACATGTAATCCTGCAAAATTACACGAATTTTGCGTAAGTGAATAATCAACGTTGGAAATCATAGGTCTTCTTCAATTATATGAATCTTTAATACTACTGTAGAATTTAATCCAATTTGAATAAAATTTTTGCACGGGTCTATTGAATCTAGGGTTTATTGTTATAGACATGTTCACCACTTAAACTAGTCTGATGTGAGAACAGCTTGAAATCTTATAAGTTAATCTTGCAAGAAAGCAAGCAAGAATTATTTCCCCCCTTAGATTGGGAGGATACAAAATTCGAGATGGTTTTCCGTTTTTACTGCAGTTTCCTAGTCCAGTTTCAGCCATACTTGCAATAAATATTTGTTATGGATGTTTAAATCTTATTTAGAACATTTCATGATTAAAGACAGAATAGAGTTTTAATTGACTTTTGACTTATTGATGGCAACCTAGCCAATAAATTACCTTACTAATTTCAACAAGCAAATGATATTTTTTTAACAAAGAAAAAACTCCTGTTTACAAAATTCAATTTAAAAAAAAATAGAATTTGAAAAATTGAGAATAAGCTTAATCAGGGCATATACATATTCTTTTTTCATATAGATTTTAATTTTCTAAATTGCTACATTCCTAACTGGAATTTTTCAACGTAAGCCTATACCCCCTTTCATTTTTCGCAAAGATTTCCTTTCAGAAATATTTTTTTGGCCTCCTGTGTCATCTGATTCCTTTTTTAATATTCGTCTCAAGTCTCAATTTATATATCTTTGTAAACTGAAGGTGTACACCTTGTTTTGTAATTGTTTTCTTAGCTAAACTCATAGGTTGAATCATTTTGCAAAGGTACATGGATAAGAAAATTAGTCAGTTCTTTTTAAAGTAAATTATGTATGAGAAATCTTATATTGCCCAGCTCTGGTTAACGATCTTGAACTTTTTAAAACTTATTTATAAATTGTTAAAGCGAACAAAATAAAAATAAATTATTATTATTTTGGTGTATTGCAAGGTTCATTATTGTGCCAACATTTAACAACTGTTGAATACCTACTGGCTGTACAATATTAAAAAGTCACTTTGCGCGTTCAAACTTTTTTAATCTACTCGTTAATGGTTATAACATTTTTCGTTTTTAACCATTCAACTTTCAGTTCAGTTAACATTTTTCCTCCTTTGTTAATCAAGTTGCTGCATGTTAAATAACTCGATGTTTTAACTGCGTTATCAGTAGATATATACCAAAATATTCGTTAACCGCTTTTTCACTTTACAGTTCGTTAGTTCGTTAACGCGCGCTGTAATCATTACGAAGACATGGGGGGGGGGGGTGTTTGATGACTGATTCAGAATTCTATTTTTTTTTGATAATTTCTTTCATTAAAATTTAAATTTATGAAATTTGCCATTATTTAAAATTTTCTCGTTTTTTTAATATTCCTTTTATTTTTCTTCATGAAAGTATTTTCTGTCGTATATCGTTAATTTAAAACAACTGCCGTTTGTTAACAGATCGTTGCCCGCCCCTAACTATAAGGAAACACCTTTTTAAGGAAGCATAGCAAGGCTAGACATAGGCATAACAAGGCTAGACATAGGTCTCTCTAATGAGAGGGATATTGTTGCATTGTTAGACCATGCTTGGAGAATGAGGGAGGCCAAAAATGGTTCTTTTTAGTTTTCAACATTTAGACATATTGTAAAAATATGTAGATATATAATTTACTATAATTTAATGTTGAATAATTAAATGATTAAAAAATAACATTCTGAAACATCATTAAAGAAACTGTGAAGTTTTTCAAATTGAAGATTCAATGTTGATTCAAAGGTTGCAAGCTGACAAGCAAGTTTTAGAATTTTGCCAAAAACTTCTTAAAACAAAAGTGCTTTAGAGAACCATCATGTACATGTCTGAAGCTAAGAAAAGTATAAAGGAGAGAGTGCGGTAAAATCAAAGATCAAGGCATTGCGACACTTTAATGTAGACCCAGGGATCTATGTGCCTTCTTTAAAGGGTTCTTTTATCTTTTCCGTTTTCAATGGTGGATTTTAAACATTTTCACAAATGTATATGGGGCAAAATTTTTAATTTCTCGACCGGCCATAAACCTTCACAGTTTGTAATCGGTTCAACCGTTTTACTTTAAGATTGGATACAAACTAACAAACAAATATTCTAGTAGATGCAGGGTTTCCCACGAAACATGCCATTTGGTGAATAGTTTTGAGTGTCTTCTTCCACATACGGTATTTGATATTAAAGACTTTTTGCAGTTTATTTCTTTAAAAAATGTTTAACTCATAAATATTTTACTGAAAAATCAATTTTTTATTTTACTATAGTAAAACTGTCATATAATAAATGTTATTAGTCTCTTTGGTATCAAACAACTTATCAAATAATGGAAGAAGACATTTTAAACTATTCATTAACTGTTATGTTTCGTGGGAATATGAATTTATCAACATGAAAATAGGGTTTCCAGTCGTAATTATGTTACGCGTAACACATTCTTTCACTTACGGAGAAGCATTACGCAAAATTACGTGTTAATTATGTATACAAAATAGTCTAGTTTCGCGAAAGGTGTAATTACGTAATACGAAACCATTTAGGGAAAATATGTGCAAGGATATGCACGTTACATACCATGTCAAATCAGAGCTGACAACTTTAGAATGGTATATTCTTAATCCCGATCTGTTAATTAATTTGGAGATTAATAAAAAGAGGAAAACAAGCGTTATTAAATCTGGAGATTAAGAAAAAAGGTGGATCAAGCATTAAACCCGATTTCCACCATTCAAAAGTTTCCAGCTCTGATTGGATAATTTAAATACCTTCAAATTGAAGTTTCGTTAAGTAGGCGTAATTATTATTACACTATTTCGCGAAATTACTTTGTATAAAATTAGAATAATAATAAAATTTATTTTAGAAGTAATAAACTATTATGACCACAATATGTATGTAGACTTGGCATTTCCAAAACGGGGTTTACTTTGTCCCGTCAAAAATATCCGAGATTATATAAAGATAAATATTTAATACAGTGAAATCTAAACAAAATTTTGTTTTGATTATAATTTTGAAAAAATATACAGTCACCACCAGAAAACCGTGGAATAGGAAGACGACATTAAAACAATTACAGCTTTACTAGTACTAGTAACTTATTAAATCACTTATTTACTGAATTGGGTCTGTTTACACTGCACAATTTCTTACAGTCAGAAAACTTGAGCATAGTCTTTCTATTCCAAAGTTTCCTTAATTAGGTCTTTTTTAATTATTAAATTAGTCAATATATTTCTAACTATCGAATAAANTGACAAGTTTTATACCGCTTCAGCTCAGTCTCAATCCAACCTTAGTTTCTGGGAAGGTTTGGAGCAGAGAGCATCAAACAGTTCCGGACCCTTGATAGTTCAAGCAGATCTTAGTTACCTACAGTTAGGGTTGGTATACATAATACATATACTAGCTACAGTTGGAAACTAGAACCAAGTGAGTTGAATTAGCATCAACTGTGATATAAAGAATACAAAAAAGTGTCAGTTAAAACAGTTCAAGTTCAAGTTCAGGTTTAAGTCTGTTTACCCCCGGAAGCAGTTTGAACAGGTTGTCTGCCTTCTACATTTACAGTGCACAACACTGCAGGGTACAAACATATTCAATCATATACAACTTTATAACGGGAAATGCAAGTTTAAATGCACTGTAATAATTAATTATTTAAGCATTCTATACACTGTAATAATTGAATACATGTTTACAATTTATTGTAATAATTAAGTACATGTTAACAATTCAGAGTAATAATTGGATATCGGGGCTAATAGGATAATTATGATATTTTAATTTTTAGCTACATCACAATGTTACACTTGACTATGTGGCTACAATGTAATTTAAAACTTAAATTACGGCTACAACATAACTATAACATAGCGTAAGTGCAACACAACTATAACATAGCTTAAGTGCAACATAACTATAACATAGCTTAAGTGCAACATAACTATAACATAGCTTAAGTGCAACATAACTATAACATAGCTTAAGTGCAACATAACTATAACATAGCTTAAGTGCAATATAATAGTCGCGCGAATTTGCGCCTTCAAAGCACCTAAACAAATTTTCGGCTAAAATGCACTGTGAAAATTCAATCGTGGCTACAATTCACTGTAACAATTAAATTTAAAAAACTTTTTTGTTCTTTTGAAAAGTTCTTTGATACTAGATGAGTTATGATTGAAATAGCATTTGAAATAAAAAAGAAGGCGTTTGGCGCTATTTCAATTTGTTCGTTCATTGTTCATTTACGACCCATTTCGTTTTTATCAGCCGTTCAGAAGAAATTTCAATTTGTTCGTTTTCAGAATTTTCATACACATTCTAACTGAAGGTTCGTTCAATAAAATCGTTTGTTCGCTAAAAATCTATACGTTTTTCAGACTTGTTCAAGTGACCATTAAGGAAATTGTTCATTTATGGTCATGACTGATCCATTAAATGCAAACAATCGTTAATGATTCCAAATTGTTCTTTTTCGTTTTTTTTCGTTCGTTTTTCAATTTCTCTGAACGATCCAATTTATTTATTCATCGTTCGTTAAGTTTTCTGCATCACATCTTTATTCATTAATGGTTAACGCATATTAAGGGCCGCATATAAATATAAAGTCATGATAAAAATTATTCACTAAAAAATTTCATATTTTCGCCTGACTTTAAAATTATAGGATTAAGATATAAAAATCAATAAAACTGAATATGTCACGTTTTTAGTAGTTTTTAGACACATGGTTGGTATTATCTGTTAATATTGAGATATAGATATAGAATATTGGATACAGTTGCCTCCTCATGCATGCAGAATAACTATATATATATATATATGGTTATATATATATATATATGTATATATATATAACCATTGCATGAGGAGGGGGGCATAACAAATGGGTAAGGGATTTTTTTTATGGGGGGAGAGGGGGGATGCTTTGATTTGAATTCAGTTGCGTCTTGGTCTAGAATTCAACAATCTTAAAACTTACAAAGGATTCTTTTTTCTCATTTATAACGCATCAATGGACGAAAGAAATGAAAGATAAAAAACGAGTGATTATAGATGGTCAAATTGGGATCGAAAGTGACGGCTATCTCTTACTAGGAACGAACCGTTAAATCGGGGGGGGGGAGGGGGGGTTAAGATGTAATTAATAAGGGGATTATATGTAGGGCTTCCAATCGAAATTATTTGCACGAAAATCGTGCAAATAATTGGAGTGTAGGAAGAAAGCATCATCACCGGAGTGCTATACCGGAGACCCCGTCATTTTCAACAGAGACCCCGAAGTTTTCAACGGAGACCCCAGTAAAATATTAAAACAATTTTGAAAATGTTTAATCTACTTTTGGGTATAAAAACAAATATATTTCCATCATAAACAAATTGTAGAAGGTGCTGTTATAAGTATTTATATTACATTTAGTTATGACTTTATACCTTTTTTACAAGAAATCTACAAAATTGAAAAGTGAAAAACTTCCAAGATAAAAAAGATATCCCCTGTCTCACCCCCTCCCCCCCCCTCCATGAATTTAATATATTAAGCTTATAAAGATGAAAGTTGTTCGGTTGTTCTTCAACAGCACGTGTATTTATTTTTAAAAAATTACTTATTTTAAAACTACTTTGATCATGAGAAATCGCTTTCTTCGGTAAATTGGTAACAATTCCACCCAGAAATTGCAGTACACTCCTAATATAAAGCAATTTCTGGGATTCTAGGTCTATCTTCCTCGATTGTGGAAAAGTATAAAAAGCTGAATTAAAAAGGAAAAGAGAAAATTGGAGGAAAAAGAGGAGAAAAAGGAAAAAAAGAAAAAAGGCAAGAAAAATACAAAACAAAAATAAAAAGAGAGAAGAAAGAACAGGAAAGTAGAAAAAAGAAAAAGAAAGAAGAAGAGAGAAGAGGAAGATAAAAAAGAAAAAAGAAGAAGTTTGAAGAAGAAGATAGAAAGAAGAAGATAGAAAAAGAAGAAAGGAAGAAGAAGATAGAAAAAAAAGAAAGGAAAAAGAATGAAGAAGAAATAAATAGAAAGAAAAAGAAAGAATAAAGAAAAAGAAGAAGAAGAAAAAAACTTATATCTTTTATATTCTTTATTGGGCGAAAAGTAAACATCAAGACGGATGTCGAAGCCTGACATGGACCCCATTTTCACAAAAGTAATCTATAAAATACACTGGTGATAGAAAAATATTATGTGAATTTTCAAAATTATCAAAATTAAATGATTTTAACCTCCTCGGATACTAGTCGAACACTGTTGCATCTATTCTTGTTTACAAAGTCCGCCCAAAGAGAACTGGTTTCAATATGTACGCAGAGTATACGCTACTACAATTAACTTTCCTTGCATTAGTACCTTGCTACACTCCAATAATTTCGCAAAGATTTGTTTTTGTTTCGAGTAAAAATTGCACGAAATTTCGATGTAATTTTGCATTGATGCGCAAAAGCTATTTCGCGCAAATTCATAATAAACTCTTGGTTTTTGCGTATTTAGTTGTTTTCTGCTTTTCGTTATTTCGAGCTATTTCGTTATTTCGACCTATTTCATGCAAAAAAAGTCATTTCGTGCAAAAAAGCGAAACTGAATTTGCTGTTTTGTGGAAACCCTAATTAAATGACACTGAGAGGGAGGNTCGAGGATGCGAATAGAAAAAGTAAATATATACTAATCAAGAGACTCGACAGTAGTAAGCGTAATCTTTAAGTGACCCTCCATACAAAGATGGCAAATGCAATGCCCGGTTTACAACTGTATCCTTGAAACCTTAATCTGATGAAAAATGTGGAAGATATTGTCGTTTTTCTGACTTAAAAAGTAATTACTCCTCTGAGTTTCTTATAAACAAGGAATGGGCTATCGTTTTCGCAAATGAAAATAAACAGTTAAAAAATACATGATCAAACAAAGCTTTTAATGCTGTAAATAGGGCATTGGATCTTTGCATGAAGGATCGAACTTGAAATTACGCGCACACTCCCTTTTCATGCATATCGGAAGGAAAAATGAAGAATCTGATTTAGATCTTCATTCTTCACAATTTCTGGTTCATTCAACTTTTTCCAAAGAATTTTTCAAAGCCAAGATCCTTCTTTTTTATCCATTTTATCAGGGAATTTCTAAGTCGGGATAAATTTGAAAGGTTGATATATCTTGTTGGGAGGAGATTACTCCCTAGGGTATAGGTTACAATTTTTAATTCATCTTATCCAACCTTTTTAAAATATTTATTACATTTTTTCTTTTTAGGAATTAGTTAAAAACAAACGCAACTTTATTCTTAAAATTAATCTTTCGATCTTTTATCGTTAAATGTTTAAATGTTTAGATCTTTTGATCTTTTTGACATTTTGACCTTTTTAACCCGCTGTTCTCCTGATCTTTTGGTCTCTTCATTTTTGGACCGTTTAATATTTCCAAAACTTTAAATCTCCAAATTAAAAAAAAAATATTCTGATTGATTTTATCTTTAATACATTGATCTCGATTAATAAATTATCCCTTCGTGAGGAATGGTTTTCTCTGAAAGGTATTACTGAGGATTGGAAAAGCCTGTACAGTTTCAACATTTTTCATTTTACTCAGTTCAGTCACTTTTTTTACAAATATATATTCGGATAAAATTGATTGTTGAGGGGGTGGGGGGGGAGGGGGGCAATAGCTTCTATTTTCAAAGAAAATTTAAAAAAAAACATACAATAGCTTCCCCTTTTTTATAGTCATAAAAGTCTGGGATTTCCCGTAAAACGTAACCTTTAAAAAGCGTATTGGGAAAAAAGGTTTTCAAAGGGGAGGGAGAGGGGGGGGGGGTTGATTATTTTATAAAACATAACCAATAATGGAGGAAGGGGATATCTTTTCAATTTCTAAATGGAAATTTTGGTCAATAATTTTTTTAAAAATAACTTAAATGCTTCTTTTAAAGAAGAATATAATTGAGATTTTCTGAAAATTAAGAAGGATTAAAAAATGATCTGTTTGAGATAAAAAGCGGTATTTTAACAGATGCTTATACTTGCAAGTTTATAGTTGGTTTTAGATATCGGAGCTGCAAAAGGTTTTTAAAACCATGTTTTAGAAAGGAGAAAAAAGATGAACATTTGAAACTATATTAATATATATGCCTCGAGTACCATTTTATTTTATAAAAATTATAAAACATAAATTATATAAAAAGTCATGTTTTAAAGAACCGTGCTAATTTTATTGACAATATTTTGATTTGACGTTTTGGATTTAATTTGAATGTCTTAAAATCTTCCAAAAATGCAAGAACTTAATCTAAAAAAAAACTAAATTGAATGTTTGTTCCTCAGTTTGAATGTGAAGAAGATGGCAGCTACGAAGCAGTGCAGCAGGAAAATGTGTAAGTATTAATTTAAATCCTTTTCTATTTTTCTATCTGTCTATCCTCGAGTAGTTTTAGATCCATTTGCGCATTTTCCAGCAACGACAAATTTAATTGACCGCGGGATTTTTAGAAAAATGGCGCGAGGTCGAGATACATAAATGAATATACATAGTATAATGTATTTATCCAGATAAACATATATTATTAGACCGGATAATCTTTCTAATATTTAACTAAATATGAAGCTAATAGGATCATGATATACTTCCTATATTAAGATTATATTATCAGCTATAGTTTGGGAATCCAGCTTTGCCTGGAAGCTAAACTTTCTCTAGAAAAGTCCACCCACTCAGCTTAGAATGTTTAAACCAATCTAGAAACTGTTCTGGCCGTGGTTCTATGTACAGATTTTAAATGTAATCCATTCAAAATATAGAAAAAATGGAATTACAAAAACGGTTTATATTTATCAGGGGTCAAACCTTAACATTTTTTTTTATTACGCACTAAGTCGGTTTAATTTTAGTCTTCAGATGAAGTCACCCCCCCCCCTTTCTTTAAACCATTTTTAAATTTTATGCTGATGAATTTTCAATTTTGTACAATTAATCGTAACGTTTTGTCCCGTATAATGCCGGTATTAAACTTTAATCCTTTGATATTACAGTTTCCGAAGCATAGAAGTATAGAAGACGAAGCTTGCTACCCCGACCAAAATTTTTGTCTCAATTTTAGAAAAAAAGTCAGCATCATACAATTTTTTTGCTTGTTAAAAAATGAAAACATTACTTTAATACATAATTACGTACTTTCAAGTAACACTCCATGCCTTGCTCCATGGCAAAGATGGCAATACCCTATTTATAACGGTACCATTATAAGCTTTGTCTGATCAAGTATTAATTAGATATTAATGTTTTTGTTTATTCAAACTTATATTTTCATTTGCGGGTTCTCTGCGAAAGTGACTTTCACGTTTCTTGCTTATAAGAAGCAATGGAGAAACTATCAGAATAAAACACTTTTCGAGTTAGAAAACCGACGATGTATTTTGTATCTGATTAAGGTTTCAAGGGGACCATTGTAAATCGGACATTGCCATCTTTGCGTGGATGGTCCTGAATGTTAGAAAACGGACTAAACAAAGGAGTTGAGTTTTTGCCACAAACTCTAATTTTCTAATCTCTATATCTTTGTAACCCAATGTCTTAGACCTTAGATATTTCAAACTATTAATACTTATAGATAAAATAATCTAAGTTTGAAATATCAAAGGTGTGCACCATCAGGTTGCAAAGATATTGGGATCAGAAGATTTGAGTTTGTGGCATAAACTCAATTCCTTTCATACAATCATCTCTGAAGTCTCATCCTTTGGGGGTAACCCTGTTTGTCTATTTTTTTGGGTGTCCGATCATAACTCATGAGCCCCTTGACTGAATTGCCAGATTAAAATTTGGTTTGGGAACTCGGTATAACCACGGGAACTTTCTTAGTTTCGTCTAAGTTCCAAGTTGAGTATTATTGTAGACTAATTTATAAGGGAAAACTTCATAGACAGAGCTGCAGGTACCCGCGCTAGCTTTATATATTTTCCATTATATTCACAATGTATAACATGAAAAATGTCTTCCTCTGACTATTGTTACATTGTAAAGAATAATGAAAGTTGAGTGGTGGACTTTTCCTGATTCTCTACATTACCCTTATAATACAGGGGGATATATGGGGCTATACAAGGAGATACAGGGGGATACATAGGGTACAGGAGGATACAGGGGGATACTTTAACGTTACCATATGTACAAATATTTTTTTAAACAAAGCCGTTTTTTACTTAACACGAAACTAAGAATTTACATCAATCTCTACTTGAGAACAAGGCTTTTTATCAGTTATTGTTCTTTAAAAATGTTGCCGTTTTCTGCAAATAAGTTTGCAAACCTCCCCGGGCATTTATTGTTTGCAATTATCCTTGCAAATTGATTTATATTTCAGCTTATTTCCAAAATTTAGCTTGTTATACGAAAAATATTCGCAAAATTTCAAATCTAATTCAGTAAATTACTAAATGTTGATTAAAAATTTTATTGGGTGGAATGTAGAAGATATTTAATTAAAAACGTTCACTCTTTGATATAAAGTACAAATATGCTTTAAAAATTATTTTAAGTCTTAATTTTTCAGTTTTTCAAAGATAAATATTTTTATCGAATTCGTGATTCAATGAACTGTGGGAGGAGTGAGGATTAATGAAAGCAAAGCATGAAAAAGTAACTTTTTTTGAGAACAAAAATTGGACCATTATGGGAATTATTCATGACAATATATTAGAGTAACTCTAAAAAAAACACATGGTGGTTTCTGGTATATTTTGACGCATTTATGCGTAAGAAATAATATGTATGTAGTTATTGGAATTAAACGCTTTTCAAGCTATAAAGTGACATAGCTTCAACATTGTTACGTTAATTAGCTAATGATAAATAGATTCTAGTAGAACCTAGCAGAATTCTAGTACAATCTAGTAGAAGTCTAGTAGAATCTAGTAGAATTCTAGTAGAATCTAGTAGAATTCTAGTAGAATCTATTAGAATTCTAGTACAATCTAGTAGAATTCTAGTACAATCTAGTAGAAGTCTTGTAGAATCTAGTAGAATTCTAGTAGAATCTAGTAGAATTCTAGTAGAATCTATTAGAATTCTAGTAGAATCTAGTAGAATTCTAGTACAATCTAGTAGAAGTTTAGTACAATCTAGTAGAATTCTAGTAGAATCTAGTAGAATTCTAGTACAATCTAGTAGAAGTCTAGTACAATCTAGTAGAATTCTAGTAGAATCTAGTAGAAGTCTACTAGAATCTAGTAGAATTCTAGTAGAATCTATTAGAATTCTAGTACAATCTAGTAGAATTCTAGTACAATGGAAAAATGTCAAATAATGTTAGAAAATTTCGTTTTTTGTTATATTTGACACTTGTGACGTCGTGTATAATTGGTCCATTTCTCTATTGCCGTCTATTGTACTTGATAATCGATTTAGATAAAGGTATATATACATATATATAGATCTAAATAGATAAAATAGGTGAGATAAGCAATTTATTCTAAAATTATCACTATTATTAATAATTGTGTCGGACACAAAACTGAATATATATATATTTATGTTTATATGAAAAATAATAAATTATTCATAAATCTAAAAATTTTAGAGTATTCAAAAAAGTTTTATCTTATAAGAGGGGTTTGCACCATTTTTTTATGACAGTTAATATTTATATATGCTTATATATGAACGCTAAAATACAACAATTTTAATTAAGATAAAACTTTTTTTGATACTCTAAAATGCGTAGGTTTTAAATCTTTTATTTTTAGATTTATGAATAATTTATTACTTTTCAATACAGTTAAACTAGAGGAATATTGAATATGCGTGTTTAAAATTTATAAATATCATTTTATTAATATTTAATTAAAACGCTTTTATGTATGTTAATGGATTTAATATACAACACTTATAGATAGAATAATAGATATATAGATAGATTGATTATATATAAATAGATGAATATAAAGATAGATCTATGGATGGATAGATAGATAGATAGAAAGATAGATAGATAGATAGATAGATAGATAGATAGATAGATGGATAGATAGATTTTATATAAATAGCTGAATTTAAAGATAGATATTTGGATGGATAGTTAGATAGATAGACAGACAGATAGATAAAAAGATAGATATATAGATAGATAGATAGATAGATAGATAGATAGATAGATAGATAGATAGATGGATAGTTAGATAGATAGATAGATCAGTGAACTCCTGGTATTCAAGGTTGCCTGCGTACATGAAGTAGAACCAAGTATAAACCTAACTGTACTAAGTTTACGCTTTATATGGCAACCATTGAATTCATGGGAAAGGGCGGGATAATTTTAAATAAAGAGGGAGGAAGAGAAGGGGGAAGTGGAGAAGGAGGGGAAAATGGTTTTCTGAGTAGCAACAAAAGGATTATATCAAGAATTATGACCTATTTAGAATTCCGTAGTCAGGGGGTAGGGGGCCATTGGAGCTACGCACCCCCTGGACCAGTGAAATCTCCGGATTTAAGGGTTTATTCAGGCCCTCCTGAGCCACCCTCCTGGAAAGGAAAAAATATATATATACAGGGTTATTCATAAAGAATGAGACTTTAGAAAAATTCAATAATTGTTTCCTGGAGGCCGAAACTAGCTTCTTTTTTCTCTAAATCGTTTCGTAAACCAATTACAAACTAAATTCCAGGCAGAAATTAAGCTGCAAATACAAATCGCCATGTTCTAAGAGTTTTGGGTCGTCATTTCAGTCTCATGCTTTATGGGTAACCATGTAGTAATTAAAATAAATAACTAGATTTTATAAAAAATGTTATAGCTGTTTAATAGGTATAATTTTAGTAAAGGAAGACGACTGTGCACACAGAAGCATTACACTTTATAAATTGATTTTAGAGCTGTACTGTTCTCAACATGAAAAATATGCACAAAATGCTCATTGGCGTCTTCACTTTTTATCCGTTTGTATTTTAATGTTAAAACTTTTATGAAAATTTTAACTTTTTCGCGCGTTTTGTTCAATTCAATTTATTCTATGTCATGACTTGTACTTTACAATCGAGCTAATAATATGATAATAATAATAACTAAAATAATATTTTATAAAATAAGCCAAAATAATCCACACTTAACTCTTGGAATCCCTTTCTCAAAAGTTAAGAATAAAAAATTTCAAATTTTGCAAGATCAAGACGACATTTTATCCCTTCTTTTAAGATTTTTTTTTATTTCAGCGCCCGTTCCAATCTCTGGTATCCCTAGACGGGCTCCGAAGCTAAGCGAGATAAGAAGGTAAATTACATCTACAAATATAAACTGTGCTTGTCTGTCTGTCTGTTTGTCTTTTTGTTTTTTGTTTGTTTGTGTTTAATAAACGTATAATAGCTTACATAGAAGCTTATAGAAGCTTACATTTTGTGAGATTACACACGTGATGGGGAAGGAATTTGGATGCCAAGAACAACACAATTTTTGATGTGTGAACATTTTTGAAATTCTACGAAAAAATATGATTGAACCCACGAACTATTTGTTGTTTTGATTCTGAATTGTACAAAGAGCCTATAGAACAAAAACAATCCTAGTTTCAAAGACGACCCCACGAAATATAAATTTAAGTCTTAATTTCCCTTAGTTTCAGGTTGTTAAAAAAGTTTGTTTAAAATAACCAAAATTCAAAAAACTCGTTATTTAAAAAAGACGATATGGCTTGTGTGTTTTTGAATAATACATTAGAAATTAACTTTGAAAAAATAATAACAAATATTGATAAACATATATACAAAAATGAAGATTTTAAACACAAAAGAAGAATGCAATCAATGCTTTTCTTTTGAATTATTTAATCTTTTTTCAAAACTAAGTTTGTATAAAAACCAAGAAGACTATTGTGTGGTCAATAGTGGTTTTCCCATACATTTTGGTTAAATGGTTAGATAAATACATGTAGTTTAAAAAAGTGTAGTGTAAGTCGTCTTATTTTTTATTTATATCAAGAAATGTCGGATACGAATGTTGCAACTTTATTGTGTCTGGCAACTGGGCTCGTTTTTCAAAATAAAGTTGATTGACTTCTTAAAGATCTTACAAAAATATAAGAAGTTTTTAAAGTATAAAATCTTGTAACCTATAACCTAAGCATTTCCTTAACCGTTCTTGCCTTATGCTACATTTTATTCCTGAGTCGCATATATCAATACAATGAAGACAACTTTCTATTTTAATTTTGATTTATATCAAGCTTTTAAACAGCATGGATAGTGGGTATGCATAAACATTAAGACAATTAATCTAGCTGTCAATTAAAAAGCTTCTCTTTATTTACTTGAAACTTGTAATTCGAAAATATCTTGTTAACAATCAAAACTTAATAAAAAAGTCGTCTTCATTGTATTGATATAATCGCCGACCACTATAGCAAAAAACTAGCAATGAAAAAAAAACAATCGTTTTAAAACTATGGTTTTTGGTTAGTTTTTCCCTTTTATATTCTTTTTGGAGAAACAAATACAGAATATAGTTTTGAAATGGTGAAATGTTCACCGTACTAGGAATAAAGCACTACTCTATTTATATCATATCTTTGACTAGGAATAAAGGACCGCTCTATTTATATCATGTCTATGCCTAGGAATAAAGGACCACTCTATATATATCACGTATATGACTAGAAAATAAGGATACTCTATTTATATAATGTCTGTGACTAGAAATAGAAGACTATTTTATGTATACCATGTCTATAACTAGGAATAAAGGGCTACTCTATTTATAACATGTCTGTGACTAGGAATAAAAGACTATAATGTATATCTCATGTCTATTGCTAGGAATAAAGGACTATACTATATTTATACCATGTCTATGACTAGGAATAAAAGGACTACTCTTCTTATATGATGTCTATGAGTGGCTAGGAAAGTACCCACCTGTTTCCACTGTGGGCAGTGCAACGGAGGATATAGTGACGTCACACACTAATATATATATATATATTATTTATATATACTAATGTCGTGGATAAACCACACAGAGGATAGATTGTTGACGCGTACCGGGCGTCTAACAAGTCGGGCTGGAAAAGCTCAAAGCAGCAACCTTCATGTAAAAATGCATAATTGGCTTAAATAAAGAAAATATTACTGAGACTCAACTAGATTATCAAGTACAGATGGCAACGTAGAATTTTTACTCTCTTAGTACAGCTGTATTCTTACGTTACAAGTGTCAACAGTTTATGTGTCCGACAAATTATAAATAATAATAATAAATAAAGTGCTAATCTTACAGTGAAATAAGTGCAATCTTGTGTTTTTTTTATTTTCTGTTTCAATTTCTTGGAAAACATGACAACTGATGGGAAAAAATGTTTTCTTCCTTGTTATATTTGACATTTGTGACGTCATGTATATTTGGTTCATTTCTCTATTGCCACGAGTTGTACTTGATAATCTATTTTCTGAGACTAATCTTTCAGCCACACGCCCCTGAAACCCCTTGACCCACCTTGGAGACTTGAAATTGCAGAAAATAATGTGCACAATATATATGATCCCCTTAAATATATATTTCGATTGATTGATTATCTCGAAATGTACAGCAATAAACAGCAATATACAGCAACATACATCAATAAACAGCAATACACAGCCATATACAGCAATATACAGCAATATACAGCAACATACAGCAATAAACAGCAATATACAGCCATATACAGCAATATACAGCAATATACAGCAATATACAGCAACATACAGTAATATACGGCAATATACAGCAATATACAGCAATATACAGCAATATACAGCAATATACAGCAATACACAGCAATACACAGCAATATACAGCAATATAAAGCAATAAACAGCAATATAAACAGCAATATACAACAATGCACAGCAATATACAGCAATATACAGCAATATACAGTAATATACGGCAATATACAGCAATATACAGCGATATACAGTAATATACAGCAATATACAGCAATAAACAGCACTATACAGCAATATACAGTAATATACAGCAATATACAGCAATATACAGTAATATACAGCAATATACAGTAATATACAACAATATACAGCAATAAACAGCACTATACAGCAATATACAGTAATATACAGTAATATACAGCAATATACAACGATATATAGCAATATACAGCAATAAACAACAATAAACAACAATATATAGCTGTCAAATTAGTAAATTCTGTCCGCGTCAAAGCTGTAACAATTATTTATTTTTACTAAGTTTAATTCTTTCCAAAGCTTTGAAAGAGAACTTTGAAATAATTCTTTTGTTTTTCAACATAATTTTAGCATTATAAAGACTAACTATAAAGACTTTTTCTAATTTAAATTTTTCTTCTTTAATGAAAAAGAATAAATGCTGTAAAATTGTAATTGTAATTTCAAGTGTCTCTTCATTTATAAATTGGCATTTCCGATTTACACCAGTATCCTTTAAAGCTTTATTCGATACGGACTGAATTAGATATTCATGTTTTTAACTTTAAAAAGTGATCATTTTTAAATTAAGTTTTTTTTTCAAAATTGACGCACGCCATAATTTGGTCCAGCAAAACTATGTCGGAATTACAACAATTTTGAAGCTAAAAAACAGCTTTATTTTTAACATTTTTAATTGGATAATAGTTCCAGCTGTGAATCGTGCATACCCCTCTTTCCAGGCGGGTTCATTAAAATGATGGTAATGCATTCTCTTTAAACATCAAAGTGTGGTGGGCGTCATCTTTTCAAGTTTTCAATTAGTTTTCCAAAATGATTTACAAGAATTTCTCTGAGGATCTCAATTATAATTCTATTCGTTGAACTAATTATCTCCTTCCATTCCCCTCCTTCCTTCGTCCCCTTCCTTTTCCCCCTCCTCCTTCCCCCAACCCCTTCTCCGTCTTCCTCCTTCTGTCCCCGTCCTCCACCCAATTCTACTTCCTCCCAAAAAATTTATATTCTAATCCTTATCTTACAAAAGGGGATTAACTATAATATTATTCAAAGCCATTGATTTATATCATATATTAATAATCTAAATTATCCCGTTTTCTACTTTGGTTCAATCTGGAATGCTGCAAATGCAATACTTGATATCATTAAGTTCTATTTAAACTTTCTGGATCTTATATGAGCTTCCGCGACTTTTCATATTTAAGCTCCCTACATTTCATCTCATGGCTCCCTACATTTTATCTCAGTGACTCTCCACATTTCATTTCACGGCTTCATACGTTTCATCTCTTGGGCGGCTCTATACATTTCATCGTATGGCTCCATACATCTCCTCACAGGGCTCGCTACATTTCATCTCAGCGACTCTCTACATTTCATATTACGGCTCCCTTTATTTCATCTCTTGGGCTCCCAACATTTAATCTCAAGGCTCCCTACATTTAATCTCAGGGCTTCCTAAATTTCCTCTCAGGGATTCCCTACATTTCATCTCTTGGGCGGCTCTATACATTTCATCGCATGGCTCCTTACATCTCATCACAGGGCTCCTTACGTTTCATCTCTTGGGCTCACTACATTTCATCTAATGGCTCCCTACATCTCATCACAGGGCTCGCTACATTTCATCTCAGCGACTCTCAATATTTCATATTACGGCTCCCTATATTTCATCTCTTGGGCTCCCAACATTTCATCTCTTGGGCTCCCTACAATTCATCTCATGGCTCCCTACATCTCATCACACGGCTCCCTACATTTCATCTCAGGGCTTCCTAAATTTCCTCTCATGGATTCCTACATGACCGTCTCTGTATATTTCACCATAATAGCTCCCTAATTTTTATTGCCAATTTTATTTCCTAAGCTTCTAACTTTATGTTGTTTGCACCATAAACTTTACTTTTCTTTAAAAGATTTATTCTGTTTAGAAAAGTTTATAAAAAGAGAATAAAAACGTGTGGGCGGATTCTGTTCACGTCATTATTCCGTCCAGAGCTTTTCAAAATATTTAGCTTTAAAAGAGATTTTTGCATCAAAGGGGAAAATAATAGAGATTTCTCCTTTGACCCTTCTTGATATCTTTTAGCTATTTAAAGAATCTCTTTACTCATAAAGAAAAGAAGAATTAAACGCATAATCTTTTATTGTATACATATTAGGGTGGTTTATAATAAGGTCAACATTTTTGTTTGACTAATGTGGTGCACAGCCATTTATTTTATATATAACATTTTTTTTGATGATGTTTAAGGGTGACACGAGGGGTCTCAAAGTTTTTAATTTATCCGTTTTTTTTGCGGAAGGAATTGAGTCTTTGTAACAAACTCTGATTGTTTAATCCCTATATCTTTGCAACTCAATTTTGTTGACCTTAGATATGTCAAACTATGAATTATGTTGGAACCAATAATCTAAGTTTAAAATACTAAAGGTTTACGACACTTGGGGTTGCGAAGATATTGGGATTAGAAAATCTGAGTTTGTGGCCAAGACTCAATTCATTTGACAAACTTCAACCCAGTTGTGCTACCCTGAAACATTTATAAATTCAATTTTGTTCTTTCTATAATCTCAAAATAACCAAAATAAAGATATAAAAGCTCTATTTCGGATTCTAACTTTAAATGGTGATTTTTTTGTGATATTCTGAAAGAAATAAAAATTTATTATATTTCTCAGAATTAAAATATAGAATATTAGAATAATTAATGCAACTTAATCCTGCGTAATAATAAAAAATAATGTTGTCTGAAATGTGAAAGATCTTCATTATAAACTTTCTCAGAAAACGTTGAAATTATATGAAACCAATAAAAGTTCAAATACTAGTTCAATCAATCTTAAATGTAAATGACGGAATATTGGTTAAAAGTCCAGAATTACTATTTGATTATACAAAACTTGAGATCTATAATAATAATATATATAAAAACCATTTTCTAAACCGTAAACATAAATATTTTGTACCTTAGAAATAGAAATTTGAAATTACAATTTCTAATATTGTTAAAGCGTAAGTAAATGTTATTGTGTGCGTATATCAACCTAGCTGTTTGGTTGAGGCTGCCGAGGCTCTGAACCTCCTCTTCTGCTCATGAACAGTTAGTCAGCTGTTCCCTGTTCACTCAAACAGGTTAAACCAGTTCTATTCCCAGGCCAGGCAGGCAGGACCGAACTCTTTGCGCATTTTTTGGAAACTTCGCGGGTATTTACTCCGGTCCGTCTGCTATCAATCCTGTTAAGACTGTCGATGCATTTTTTGCACTTTTTGATTGTTAAACGAAAAGTTTATATTTCTCTAGTGTTTACCATTGTAAATTAAAAACTGAGATCACGCCCAATTCCTCTTAAATCAACAACAGTATAGTATATGTATTATGTATAACTATCCATATATGTATATATAATGCATTTAGTCGAAAACTAAAATATTAGACAACATCTAAATAATATTGTTTAACAAAAAAATAAGAAAAATGTAAATCTTTTTAAAGAATTGTAATATCGTCGATAATGTACCCTTCCTTCTGCCCCTGAAAGCAAACATTAAAGGAATGGATTTTTACCAGTGGGGATGATAGTTCTCTACCTGTGTGCTAAGTACACTTACAACTGTTTACTAATATTGATGTACTATAGGTTAGGCCAGAATTAACTTATAATAATCAAATATGCAGTCTCGGTATAGTTGATGGCCTATTCAATTAGTAAAGTATAGTTGCGTACACTATAACCTCGTTGATTTTTACTCTTTAAATGTGAAGTTGATTACCAGGCCACATTCACGATGGTACCTTTTACACAGTTAGAACGATATATCCTAATTTCTCCAAGTTTACAAGTTTTGAATTTTACTTTTACATAGAAACCAAAATTTGAAATTATAAATTTTCGACACCACAGCAAGAATATCTTTGTCATTTTTGTCTGGAGGAATGTTTAAATCGGACTTGTCACTTTTAAAATGGAGGGTCACTGAAAATTAAGTATAGTGCCCCTTTGTGAACAATAAAAATCTGAAAGGTTTCGTCATAAATTATTCCTAAATATGACTGGACAATCTTTAAATGTCATGGTGAAAAAACTATCTAAAAAAAACTTCGTCTTATTGACTTTTCAAGTATTTGACGTATTATCCCATTTCTAAATTCTTTCTTCTTTCTTTCATCAAATTTTGACATATTGTCATTTAAAATTCCGATTTTTTGAAAAATCTGATTAAAAAGTAATATTAAATAACCACATCTGTTTAAACCTTTTTTTAGTATTAAGAATCTGTCGTTTTTTGGACACTTTTGTTATTAATGAACATGTGTTCTTATATCTGATTTTATACCGTTTTCACAAAAAAATAACATCATCGATTTCAATAAGAATTGCTTGAAATTAGAAAAATACAAATGAAAATGTTTAAAAAAAAACATTAATGATAAAATTTTCTATACAGATTGCAGTTAAGAAAAAAATCGCAGTTTACCAAAAAAGATTTCAGTTTCCTGAAAAAAAGAATGCAGCTACTAAAAAAAGAATATTGAAGTTTACTTAACAAAAAATAGCAGTTTTCTTAAAAGTTTTCAGCTTGCTGAAAAAATAGCAGTTTACTGAAAAAGATTTGCTGTTTACTGAAAAAGATTTGCTGTTTACTGAAAAAATAGCAGTTTACTGAAAAAAGATTGAAGTTTACTGAAAAAAATTAAATGATTTACTGTTTACTGAAAAAGATTAAATCATTTGCAGTTTGATACAGAAAAAAATTGCAGTTTTAGATTAAAATTTAGCAATTTTAGGACACTCAAAAAAATCAAGTGTCATCAATATTTTTGAACTCTTATGCATAAAAAGTTAAATGCTTCAAATATAAAAAGAACATTTTTGCATACATTTTCATTAAATTTTATTGTTGAATAACATTTTATAATTCAACAGGTTTTTAATGGTTACATTAAAGTTTAACGAATTAGAAATAGACCTGTCAGTTGGAACTTTTACCAGCGCAAGCTATGGCCTTGTCAAGCTGTCCAAGGGATATTTATATAAATGCTTTTCTAGAATTTATCCATTAAAAATGCTTTCAATAGTATATAAATTTTAAATTATATAAATGTCAGGCACTGCTCTAGTAATGGGCAAAATCAAATTTTAAAAAAACACGCTTTTTCCCTATATGCGCCCAACAGAGACCCGTGGGTTTCCTCAAAAAAAATGTCAGCTAATTTGGTCTAGCCGTTTGGTTAGCTATAGCTAACATAATGTTGCATATATACAATTAAAGAGTTTTATTTTACTATAGAATATTAATTATCAGCGATAAATTCAGAACATTGAGAATGTTACTGAATCTCTCTGGAGGGAAACATAAATTCTAAAGGATCAACAAAGTTATAAGTTTTAAGTCCTTTTCTTCCTTGTATTAGTCCAAATATGTCAATTTTATAAAGTTTTAAGTCCTTTTCTTCTTTGTATTAGTCCAAATATGTCAATTTTATCAAGTTTTAAGTCCTTTTCTTCTTTGTATTAGTCCAAATATGTCAATTTTATCAAGTTTAATACACAAAGCTTCCTTCACATATTTATTGATTTATCCTGAATAATAAATAAAAAGAATATGTAACGATTTCTATTTATTTCTCAAGGTTAAAAAATAAATTATGTCAAAAACAGATAAACTGATTTCTTTATTAAAATGTTAATAACTTTGGATTTCAATTTATGACTGAATGGCGCATTTTACCTTACTAGGCTATCAGGGCGTTGTCAAGGTTTTAAGAAATATTAAATGAATCAATTTTATAGATTTAATCCGTTCCCTTGTTTATGTTCCGCTATTTTCTTTTACAGTTAAACCCTAAATGAGCCATAGATCGAAAGAATTTATCAAATGTCGTCTTGACAATTTTTCGATGGGTTTTATACTATTTTACGTAAATCTCAGTATTTGCGAAAATAAATAAATAGCGGGTACAGTTTTAAAGAGCTCCTTATAATCATTAAATTAAAAGACTAAATATCTGGAAACATTCCATTATGAGAAAGTGAAGAACACTACATTTGATGAATTCTTTTGATGTATGGCTTATTTATGGTTTAACTGTTTGTCCTCCGTTTTTATTTACTTAAAAAATGTGTAGTGTATGTCAATGCTTAATTGAAATGCCACAAAAGGAATATTGAATATTTTTCCATATCTAAGACAGGGTATCATGAAACCGGGTGCCAGAATCCGGGTATCGTGAATGGATTTAGTCAATTTTAAAGGGATCGAATTTTTTGTTTAAAATATTATTTCATATTATTAATCTTGTCATTATCTAATTCTTACATTAATAACTTCACAAACGTATAAAGGGAAAACTCGTGGGTTTCATTCAACGATACTCTTTTAAATTTCCGGCTCTGTGCTGTACACTGTACAACGAAAAGTTGTGTACTGCAGTCAGAACTGTTGTGTTGTGGTGGTCATAAATTAAATTGTGGGATCTAAATATCGAGATCAAACGCTACAACATTAAATAATTTCGACTTTATTTTCATAAAAATTTAAAATTTTTTATTTTTCAGACAAAATACTATCAACGAGGAGGAAGATATATTGTCCAGTTTGTCCTTAGGACAGAATAGTCAGCTCAACACGTCCTTAGGACAGGACATATTGTCCAGTTTGTCCTTTGGACACGATAGTAAACTAAACTGTACAACATCAAACATAAACAATGAAGGTAAGAGAGTGATTTATTGAGTAACTAGAAATTGATTGATTGATTGATTGATGGATTTTTTGATGGATTTTTTGATTGATTGATGGATTTATTGATGGATTGATTGATGGATTGATTGATTGATGGATTGATTGATGGATTGATTGATCGATGGATTTATTGATGGATTGATTGATGGATTGATGGATTGATTGATTGATGAATTGATTGATTGATTGATTTATTGATTAATTGAAGTTTTAATTGTACAATTATTTAGATAACGTTTGCATTGGTGGAGTAAATTATTTTTTTTATTTCTAATGCATTGGTTGTTTATTGGTTGTATTGGTTGTATTGGTTGTATTGGTTGTAATGGTTGTATTGGTTGTATTGGTTGTATTGGTTGTATTGGTTGTATTGGTTGTATTGGTTGTATTGGTTGTATTGGTTTTACTGGTTGTATTGGTTGTATTGGTTGTATTGGTTTTACTGGTTGTATTGGTTGTATTGGTTGTATTGGTTGTATTGGTTGTATTGGTTGTATTGGTTGTATTGGTTGTATTGGTTGTATTGGTTGTATTGGTTGTATTGGTTGTATTGGTTGTATTGGTTGTATTGGTTGTACTGGTTGTATTGGTTGTATTGGTTGTATTGGTTGTACTGGTTGTATTGGTTGTATTGGTTGTATTGGTTGTATTGGTTGTATTGGTTGTACTGGTTGTATTGGTTGTATTGGTTGTATTGGTTGTATTGGTTGTATGAATGTTTATCAAAAAGGGAGATGTCAATTTAGATCTTAATATCCTATTTATTTTGTTACATTGTTTTATATTCTAAATAATAAAACATAACTTATATATGTCCCTGTAGCCGGCCAAACGGCTTGACCGAATGGGCTAACATTTTTTGTGGACACTCATGGATAGCCTGGGAGTGTCTTAGGCAAACAAATTGGATTTTATTTTTTTTCCACAGGCAACGCCGGGCCCTCCAGCTAGTGTTCAAATGCTCGTTTTACAGAGACGACTGTTGAACATTGATCAAAACTCTCTTCTTGCATTTTTTGTTCCGCATTTTTTGAACTTACAACTTTCCTTGAGAAATTATGAAGTAAATTATTTAAAGACTTTTTTCCAGTCCTGAGATCGACATTAAAGATTTTATGTCGTCATTGGAGTCTTATTATTTGTGGTACAATTTACAATTCAAGTAACCATAGATAATAAAATTTAGAGTTATGTTAGATGATTGTGCAGTCCCCTGTACAAAATGCAATATGCATGTTTTGTATTTTGCATAGTGTAGAGTGTAGAGTGTAGAGTGTAGAGTGTAGAGTGTAGAGTGTAGAGTGTAGAGTGTAGAGTGTAGAGTATAGAGTGTAGAGTATAGAGTGTAGAGTGTAGAGTGTAGAGTGTAGAGTGTAGAGTGTCTGTGTAGAGTGTAAAGTGTAAAGTATAGAGTGTAGAGTATAGAGTGTAGAGTGTAGAGTGTAGAGTGTAGAGTGTAGAGTGTAGAGTGTAGAGTGTAGAATGTAGAGTGTAGAGTGATGAGTGTAGAGTGTAGAGTGTAGAAAATGAATGTGTATATATTTTTATTGAATATGTTTTCCCAATAATCCTAAACACAGAAACATTGAGAATAAATAAAAAGAAAAGAAAATACATATGAAATACTTGAAACCTTTTCAGCTTGTGTTATATAGTTGAAAACGTAGACAAAATTTTGGACAAAGGATATAATCCTTATTCTGGGAAGGGGGGTGGGGGGGGATGATGGCTTTTAAGAAATAACTAACGGTTCGATTCACAAGGACTTTAAGTATCTATTTGAAGGAACTTAACAGAATTCAGTATTTTTTTAAACAGATAAATCTTACCCAGAGAAAGGTTTATAGGGTACCGTGTGAATCGGAATCTATCTATCTAGTTTCTTTAAATATAATAATATTTCGATGAATTTCAATTATTTGTTGATATTTTTTGATTTCCAGTAGTTTTATATTTCATGAACAGAACTAAATTTCGTGGCATTTATATAATTTGAATTTTACACTCTAGTATGAGAATACTTACACGGGCAGCCATAGTACATTTGAATTTCCGTGCCGGGTCAACCTTTTCGGTCCCAGTTTGTACTGTATCGCCCGGACATTTGGTCAGACTTTAGGTTGAATTTACTTTTACTGAAGGGTCAGAGGTGCGTATTTAATATTCTTTGTTTTTTTTTAAAAGAAGTTCAAAACATGTTTGTTCGTTCTTTCTCTTAAATAAACTTGATCCCATTCCCCCTTTCCGTTCAAAATTTATAAAATTTAAGAAATATCTTTGTTTTAAAAAATCTGAGGAAAAAGTACGGCAACCCCTTTAAGAATTTTTAGTTCTAAAAATCGAAAATGTTTTGCAAGACTTATTAAATTGTTAGGAAAGAAGAGGAAGGTTGGGTGGGAATGATTACCTCCCCCCTTTCTTTTAAAAATATATGAAGTTTTAATGCTCCCCCCCCGTTTAAGATTTTTTTGTTCTAAAAAATCTAAATTAGAAGAATTTTTTGCAAGAATAGATTAAATTGTTAAGAAAGAAGGGGAAGGTTGGGTGGGAATGATTATCCCCCCCTTGCCCACAAAACCCCTTATTTGCTTAATGACCCCGATTAGTATCACTAATGATTATGATGAAGTAAGTGATTATAATAATTAGTGGAGGTCATGAGCCACCCTCCCAGTATTTATTCATAAATATTGTAGCAGTAATTATGACAATTAAACTTAAAAGTACGCTTTATTCTAGAAAAAAATATAGCTGCTGATCTATATTCTCAAAGATTTAGCGGATTTTTTCTTTTTTTTTTCTTTAAAATTAAAAATTAAAATCAAACTTGGCATACCCATGGACAATCAATTCTGAATTTGAATATTTACAATCAAAATATTCGATTTTTTATTTAGAAAATTGAAATTTCAAGCGATCGTACAACTAAAAAGTAGCGTTGTCTGATTCACAACGTTACCCTTTTCACAATTTTTATATAACGTTTATCTAGGCATTAAAATATAGTCTGGAAATTTGTGAAACTCTTCTAAATTCATTCCTTCTTTCTGCCACATAGATCCTCCACTTTTATTGTTAGACCACAATTTAAAATGATCAATTTTCGGCTAGAAAATTCAGGATATCCAGGACAATGATGTCCCTGCATAGAAAGTTCTTTTATCATATTGCTGTCGGAGATTGCATGCAGTAATCTTCAGTTATCTACCTCTCTCTCTGTAATATGACAAAGTTGAAAAAGAACAAAATATTGTTAAAATATTTAAATATTTTCTTAGAAAATTTCTCCCTGAGATATTCTTAGTATTTAATAATTCAAAATACCGAGTTCTCAGGAATTCAAAATTCGGCTTGAAACTACTCTTGAAGGCTTGGTTGACTTTTTATCTGTTGGTTTGTTTGTTACTAAATGTACATACAGTGATAACCAGAAAACAATGGAATATGAAGACGACATTACAGCAATACTTTACGTGTATTTGATGTTGTTCCAAACTAACTAGTTTTACCAGACATTTATAAAAACGCTAAATAAGTTAAATGGGTCTGTTAACACTCCCTAATTGCTGTGTTTCATGCTCATTGGACTTTCTAAAGCTATAACTTAAGTCTAAAAGTCGTTTTCCGATTTCAGAGCTTTCTGGTTCTCACTGGATAGGACATGCTTGGCAACAAAAACCTGAAATTATTGCTTGAGTCCTAGTATGCTATATGTTAAAAGTAATAATCTTTTTTTCCTGATTTTATTAACCCATTAAAATTGCATTGGGGAATTAGGTAAAACCACGGAATAATCATAGTTTGGATTTCAAGTTAAAAATCAATTAGATTGATAACAAAATGGAAAACTTTGTTTCAAGGCAAGGCTGGGTTACTAACCTAGAAAGTTATAATTCTAAGGGCCAAATTCCGGAAAAAACCTCTTGTTTATATGTTTATCTTTCGGTTTTTTAAAATTCCTTATCTTAAGTTTAAAATTAAGTCATGCTCGTTCAGTAAATTTTAATCTCCTGTTATTTACAGAACTAAACTGAAACTGAGAGAAAATGATGTTAACCTAATTTCTGGGTATACAGGGTGTCCCGTGCACATAGCTCGACAGTTGTGAGACGATTCCAATGTCGTCTTTGACCTTTGTAATAATATGCAGCTGTTATTCGTCAACATAATTTTAAAATTAACATTCTTCAATGCAATGCCGCAAATTGTATCAAAGATTAATGACGATTTTTAAGTCACCTCTAAACTGTTTTGTTGGTGTGACTACCTGATGACCAATGAAAGGATTTTTTTGCTTTTCTCTCTTTCGGTTTTTATTTTTATTATAGCACGGTCGAAGCAGGTTTATTGAAATGAACTTCAGAAAAAGACGTAATTTAAAGTAAACTTCGATTATCTAAAAATTGTCAAAACGGTCAATATTCTCACATATTTTTGTATAATCTCACATGACCATAAAGAAGGTTTCTGAACCGTCTAGTTGAAAAAATTGGCTCGAAAAAATGGCACCGTTTATTATTTTAAAGGCTGCTCCAGTTTAAACATTTTAGTTTTAAAATTCCAAAGAAAACTTGCCGAAGCGCCTTAAAAGCCTGGTTTATGACAATTGATTATTTTTAATCGCGGATTTTTGCAAGAGTAGAGAAAGAAGGAAATTGTCAGAATTCATCACTTTTCCAAATAGAAAATACAACGATATCTTTCTCATTATTGTTCAGATGAAATTAAAAGAATTTACAGTTGTATACTTCTCGAACAGAAAACTCTTTATTTGAGGGATTGTACTTGAAGAAAGGCTGATTCAGGCCCTTTCAGAGTTTTTGGAAATCATTTAGAGAACTTTTGAAGAAATCATCTTGTTAAAACTTTATTTTCTTTTTATTTCAATATTAAAATATAATTATTTGAGATACTTCTGAGATTTTCCTAGACTATACTTTAAAGGGAGTTTTCACGAAAAATGAAAGGGGGTATAGGCTTACGGCGAAAAATAAGCGATTTTTATCGCTAATAATCTTACTTCTATCTGTTGTGGGTATGATGAGGAGAAAATTGTTAAAAACGACTCATGCTGAAGAACGCAGCGTTCATACAAATTCGGAAAGTTGCAAGATTCAACTCTGATCGTAAAATAATCAATTTAATTTAAATCAAATCATTCAGATTACAAACAATACTCATCGATTATTTTTCGACGCATTCGTATATAGTTGTGTTGACTTGTAAAGTCACTATAATAAAATAATGAGATCTAAAATGGATATTTCTAACATTTATTTTAAAAAAACGAGTGTTTTGAAATATTTGCATTTAAGGCGGAGTTAAAATTGGTTGATTTAGAAATTAACAAAGGAATTATGGATGGATATTTGATGGTACTTCATGGGAGTGTTGTAGAGCTTCATGTTGGTGGAGCAGATCAACAGGAACTGGGGCAACAGGGCTTATAATTATTATTATACTTGAACCCTTTGACAAGGTTGATGGAGACTTGGAAAGTCACTAGAAAATACGCTTAGCTGTACCAGAAAAGCCCGTATTAAATTTTGATGAACGCGTAAGTAAATCTTTTTCTACTAAAAATTTAATGGAATAATTTAAAAACATGTACTATGTTATTTTCTTCGAGAAAAAAATCAGTTTTTGTTCAAAATTAATAAACATGAATAATTGTTATTTACTGTTTTCACTTACTCATAATTGAAACTTGAGTCTTGACCAATTACAAGTTAATTCACACTGAAAGCCAAATCTAACGTATACAATGTACACCCATGAGAAAAAAATGCAAATACAAAAATGGGCTTGGTTTGTAGGTTATGCAGCTCTGTGCGGATAGAGAAATATATGCAAAAAGCACATTTCCGTTTCTCCCATAGTCAGATTCAGAGATAGAGCTTTCAAAGCATCAATGAATATTCGATCATGATTTGGTAATTTATTTATTAAATGCTCCTGCTGGGGTTCATACTACTTTATACATATTCATTGTGTAATTGAGAAAATTATGATCTATTTAGGCGAATAAAAAAGAAAAATAATGATCATTTTTGCATCTCATTTAAAATTCCAAAAGATATATGCTGATCTGAACGGTGAACTGTTCTATCATGACTCATAGATAATTTAAATACGTTTTGAAAGTTCTGGCACTAATGGGAGATGCTAAATACGCTTAAACTTATTTAACCAACAAATATCAAGCTAATTTTTTATATTCTTTATTGGATTTACAAGCTAGATTTAGTTCTCAATGTGAGTTAACCAATATTTGGTAAAGTAAAAACATAAAATAATCAGATTTTTTTGTATAATTTGATAAATCCTAGAAACCTGATATTCAAGAAGTGATGAATTAATGATAATGTTATGAAAAAAAACTGTTTTCAGTTAAAAAAAATGGTTAAAAAACCGGTAGTGCACATTCTTCCATTGATTACTTTTACAGGTTGGTTTTAACACAACTATTTCTTCATCTTATTCTCACTGCTAACTAGACAGAAGGACAATATTAACACTACTTTGTGACCTAGTAGCTCCTCTTATTTTACACATTTAGATATAAAGAGGGATAATTATTCGGTTGTATTGTTATTAGAAATTTATAGTTTGACCTGCTTCAAGATTTTTTCATGTCATTGGTTTCAAATTATAGTGAATATTAAGTAATGGTTTAAGAATCTTCTCACAGAGGCCGAATTTGAGCCGCGGCTTAAATTTGAAATAAGGTTGGTCCACTTAAAATTGTATTTAATGTTTCAATTGAAACCGGTTTTTGGCGGAATTTGAGACGCGGCTCAAATTCAGTAAATTCGAACTCTGGGTCCTTTACTAAGGTAGAAATTCAAAAATTTGCGTTTTCTTCAATAGCTCTTAATAAGAGGACATATTATTAAAAGCATGTAATATTAATAGATATGAATAATGTTGGGATGGGAGGGAAGGATGAAACCAACTCAATACTTTGGGATTATTCTGCTGAAAACATAAAGGTAAATACATTTTTTTTCTTTTTAACTCTAATATCGTTACAACCAGATGATGTTCACTTTTGATTTTTAAAAATTGGGTTATTTGATCTTAATTTATAGTTTGGAAATATATTATGTCCACAACAGTTTATTGCAAAGATATAGGGATTAAAATATCAAATTCCTTTCTCTGAATATGACTTTAATCTCACACAAAAAGAGGATTATAAATTTTGCGTACTACTCCGTTTTGCCGCATTTAGTCTGTACTTGTACCGTACGACTACATGTACAACCTGCTCTAGTCGTCAGAGGTTTATCAGGGTCATTCAAATAACCTCAATAAATTAATAAATAAAAAGTGATAAATTAAAAATTTAAATATATTTAGAATGCTATGTGTAGCAGAACAAGTTTTATCTCAGTAATAGCTCAAACCAAGGCACGGTTTATTATTTTTTGTTAATTTATATAATCTTTTGTTTTAAAGGGACTGTAAGTGTAATTTCATGTGGCCTTCCATGCAAAGAAGGCCATGCAAGATTTACTACGGTACACTTGAACCCTTTGACAAGGTTGATGGAGACTTGGAAAGTCACTAGAAAATACGCTTACAGTCCCTTTAACGCAAACTTATATTTATTTATGGCATTTTATGAAATGACTAAAAAGATTTTTAAAAAGATTTCTTAAAATGTTTAAATCCCCGACAAATGAATGGTTGTTTAAACCTTCATTTGATTTCTTTAAAAATTCTCAAAAAATAAAAAAAATAAAATTTGGAAAAAGGATTTGTCGCTTTCCGATGAGAAGAAGAGGAGCCCTACCCATTCTCCGATCTATCCTCCTGCAGGCTCCAATCCTCCTGCAGGCTCCAATCCTCCTACAGCTTTCAATCCTACTCCAACCTTCACTAATCCTCGTGTAACCTCCAATCCTCCAGTTTCCTCCGCCAATAATCCAACATCCAACCCTCCACTCTCCAGAACCTTGACACCGCCTCCGATTCCACCAAGAATCCAGCCAGGTATGCAGTGAGAACCGAAAACTGTGGAATAGAGAGACGACATTAAAGCATTAATTATAAATGTATTTGATTTTGTTACAAAGCAAATAGTTTCACTTGTGACTTATACTAAATCACTCATTCAGTGAATTGGTCTGTTTACGTTACACAATTGCTGTGTCTCATATTCATTAGACTATATTTGAAGTCTTAATTTGAGTCTAAAAGTCGTCTTCCTCTTCCAGAGCTTTCAGGTTCTCACGGTAGTTTTAAAACAAAATGACAATAAAATACTTATATGAAAATATTTAAATGATAATGACAAACCTACCACATACAACCAGTAAATCATAAAAAAATATCCATAGCCTGTACATAAGCATTAGCGCTTGGCCTTTAACAAGGCGCAGTACTTGGCCTTCTTGCTTACCCTAGCCGCAGCGCTTACAAATCAGAAACTATCCTAAACCGGGTTTTCCAAAAAATATCAGCAATATAGTATTAGTAACTTTATGTAAAAGGGTTCTATACTTTAAGTCCCTTATCCTGCCCTAGCCGCAGTGCTTTCCCCTGCCAATGCCTTGTCCTATGTTTATTTAAAAATTGCTCATTTAGCGTCTTAGACGGAAAAAGAAACTGTTTAAAATTTAATGCAAACAGACAAACAACTCTTTATTACACGCATTGAACAGAAAATGGCATTTCCAAGCCCTTTAAGTTTAATATTTCCAGGTCTTTAAGTTTAATATTTCCAGGTCTTTAAGTTTAATATTTCCAGGCCTTTAAGTTAAATATTTCCAGGTCTTTAAGTTAAATATTTCCAGGTCTTTAAATTTAATATTTCCAGGTCTTTAAGTTTGATATTTCCAGGTCTTTAAGTTTAATATTTCCAGGTCTTTAAGTTTAATATTTCCAGGTCTTTAAGTTTAATATTTCCAGGCCTTTAAGTTAAATATTTCCAGGTCTTTAAGTTAAATATTTCCAGGTCTTTAAATTTAATATTTCCAGGTCTTTAAGTTTGATATTTCCAGGTCTTTAAGTTTAATATTTCCAGGTCTTTAAGTTTAATTTTCCCAAGACGACGTGACGACGTCACATTCCGAAGAATTTTTCTATTTTTATCTTTAATGACATTGTATAAATATTAAATATTTCTTATTAAAGAATATCAAAATAACCTAATTGATTAGCATCATTATCTCCTTATCTCTATTTTTACACGTTAACGATACGACACTCAAATATTTTAAGGATATCAGAAAGGCGATGGTAATGGTGTGTGGGGGGGGGGGTAACAACTAACAGTTCGTAATCTGCAGATTGTTAAATTACTGATTCACATGACTTATCAGTCCTTTCATATTGGAAAAAAATTGAAAAGATGTTAACGTTCTTCTGTCTTAAAACGATACAATTTTGTTGACTTTAAAAGTCAATATGATAAAATAAAAGAGATCTAAATGGATATTTCTAACATTTATTTAAAATATTAACAACATGAAGGACCCAGGGTAGCTCTCTGAGACTGAGTTGTGATCATCTCAAGTGTTTTCGGCTGACTGAATACCGGGAGGTGTAGAGGGGTGAGGAGCGAGGGTTTACATGTGTGGTGTACTTCATTGCGGAAATGGATCCTGTGTATACACACATCTTGCGAATAAACATCGGCATTTGAGTCGGTACAATCGTCTTCCTTATATTTCGAATTTGTTTTAACAAATTTCTTTTAATTTCAAGTCTTTTCTCCTCTCTCCATAAACCTCATAAATCTCACCTAGGGAACCATAACTGGAAAAAAAACTCAATTTTTAAGTGGAAAAACAGGAATAACGTTTATTTACTTTTGCTGAGATACGAATGGTCTTAGGGTGCTACTGTGAATCGTACTGCTTTGCTGCTGCAGTAGAAATACGCAAATCACATTTGCCGATAAACCACATTTGAAAATATCCATTTTTCAAAAAGAAAAACATGGATTTAAAATTAATACTTAATCAGATGAAGCTTTAAAGGGTGCGGTTGTGAATCCTATATTCCAATCTATGAATAGAAAGTCACCTGGAAGTACGTATACTGTCCCTTTAAGAAATATTAAACAGTTTTGTATTTTGGATAATTTTCCTGGAAAACTTACCAAATTTTTCAATCTTTTCAGAAAATTTTCCAGATTAAAAAATTAAGATTTCCAAGATTTTCTTTTATCAAGTTCTTCAGAACTTGTTTGCCACGGGTTATCTGATAATTTTTTTAATATCTACCAAGAAAGTTTAGAAAAAATTTTATCATTATCACTATCATTATTATTATTATTATACTTGAACCCTTTGACAAGGTTGATGGAGACTTGGAAAGTCACTAGAAAATACGCTTAGCTGTACCAGAAAAGCCCGTATTAAATTTTGATGAACGCGTAAGTAAATCTTTTTCTACTAAAAATTTAATGGAATAATTTAAAAACATGTACTATTATTATCATTATTATTATTATTATTATTATTATTATTATTATTATTATTATTATTATTATTATTATTATTATTATCATTATTATTATTATTATTACAGGACCTCCTCGTGTTCCTCCAATAGGTTTACATGCTTCGGTTGAACCTCTCGTCAATAATTCAGGTTTCTCAACATTTTTTTAATTTGTAAAATTTGTAAATATAATTCTTGCTTTATGATCTATTTGTAATTGTAGTTCTTTTGATATGATCTATTCTATTTTATTTATCATTTTATCTTGATCTGTTATACATATCTTAAAATTTAAAAAGAATATTTCTGCTTAAACTTAAAAAAAAAGTTTTATCGACACAGTTTTTAAAAAATCCGGCAAATTTGCATAAAAAATCCCTCAGTCACTCAAGATGATTGGAAACAAGAAACATGCTGCAGTCAATAAAAAGTCAAAACACGGGGGATATAATATATCATCAAGCTATATATTTATATTCATCTATATATATATTTTTGCAAAAGCTTTTATCAGATTTCTAAACACACCTTTTCTGTATCTGTGACAATTACGCGCTTTAAATTAGGTAAACCCAAGGAGATATTGAATAGAAGGAGGGGGCGATAGGGTTTCCGTACACTTTGCTGTGACGTTTTTGGACTGCTGAAGAACTAGATTTTTCGTAACAAATCGGCTGCCTTTATTATTGTTGTTACGCAAAACTAGTTATTCAGCAGTCCAAAAACACCTTAGCAAAGTGTACGGAAACCCTATTGCCCCCTCATTCTATTCAATATCTCCTTGGGTAAACCTATAGCCTATAGAGGACCAAATCTTTTTTCTTCAATTTTATTTTATAATTATTTCATTAATCTAAATTTGATATTTAGGAAGTGTTCCTATTCCAGCAAAATGCTCAAGCCAGCTGAGAAAGCTGATACAAACTCACAGTATTGTTGAAGAGGACAAGGTTGGTTTAATTTAAATGATATTGTTCACAAAGTTATGATTGACTCTTTTGTACCATTTTGGAGACATTAAATATAAAAACTGGATCAAAATTATTGTTTTATAGTTTCATAGTTTGAAAGTTTACTATTTAAATCCCAGACTCAACCACACTTTAAACTCCCTAGAAAGGGATTATTCATTTGGTGTACCGTTCCGTTTTACCGTCTGTAGTGTGTCCAGTGTACACTTTACAGTGTACAATGTACAGTGTACATTGTACAGTGTATACACAACTTGCTCTAGCTGCGTAAAAGTCGTGTCCGTACTTCAAATGAACCAGAGTTTTTAGACCAGAGCTTTTCGTTTTTAAATTTTCACAAATAAAATCAAGTTTTCAATTTTGCAGGATAATGATTGTTTGGATGGAGGTCGACCTATTTATCCAAACCTTCCCTACTCACCCTACTCTTCACCCTGCTCCTCACCCAGGTATATTTTATCCAAACCTTCCCTACTCACCCTACTCTTCACCCTGCTCCTCACCCAGGTATATTTTATCCAAACGTTCCCTTCTCACCCTACTCTTCGCCCTGCTCCTCACCCAGGTATATTTTATCCAAACCTTCCTTACTTACTGTCAATTACTGCTTGAAAACCAAAGCTAATAACAAGTGCTGTATAGCGCTAAATATAAATGGGAATAGAAAGCTTGAATGAGCTAGAGCGGTAAAATCTAAGCCCAAGGCGTTGCAACACTTCAAAGTCGACCCTGTCTTAGAAATTGATGAGACTGTTTATAAGCAGGCTGAATCTTTGTGTACTCTCCACCCTGGAAATCCGGTGATGAAATATAGTAATGAATAATCTAAACTTTGGTAAATAAAGGGTGTCCCAATGAAAATGAAAATTAAGTGACGACTTCGAGATCGCCTTTGTTAGGAATTAGCATTCCAAGTCTTATTTTATGTAACGACTGCTTTGTTCGGCAGCATACAATACACTTCTCTGATTTCACTACAATTTAATAGTATGTAATCAACACTTAAACAAACAACTTCTAAACTCTAGCATACGAAATATTCTGCTAATTTCAGCTTTTCTTTAATGTATTCATCTCCAAAAACGATCGTCACTTAATTTCCATATTTACCGTGACACCCTGTATCTCCCTGATAAACTAAATGATTTACAACTTGGAAACTTTGACAGTGTAATTTTGTAAAGCCATAAATGCGCGAAATGTAAATATAGCCTGTACTGTGCTTTAAACAAAGATGGAGAAAATTATTCATTTTATCTTGTTGCTGGTCGGTTAAAATACATTTTATCCATACAATTATACAACTAAAGTAGATTGTACTTTTTCTAGGATTAGCAAAATATATATTATAATGTTGTAGTAAAAAAACAAAGTACAATAATTCATAATCTTGAAAACTTTCGGTTTCCGAAACATTTTATAGGATCAAGACAAATGTATTTTAGGATTAAACGAAACGTTTTCTCTGATTAAATGAAACGTTTTCACTGACTAAACGAAACGTTTTCTCTGATTAAATGAAACGTTTTCACTGATTAAACGAAACGTTTTCACTGACTAAACGAAACGTTTTCTCTGATTAAATGAAACGTTTTCACTGATTAAACGAAACGTTTTCACTGACTAAACGAAACGTTTTCTCTGACTAAACGAAACGTTCTCACTGATTAAACGAAACGTTTACACTGACTAAACGAAACGTTGTTCTCTGACTAAACAAAACGTTTTCTAGGATAAAACGCAAACCGTTGGTTGAGACGAGAACAGTTTCTACAGAACATAATGGAGACTTTGTTCAGCTAAACCAGTACAAGCTTCAGGTAGTTTTTTTGTAAAGTACCACCACAAAAATGTTTTAAAATATTGATTTAATCCACAAAAAATGGAATAATAAGTTACCATTTTTGTCCACCAGGTGCATGGTGCTAAAGTGGCGCCGTGGTGGCGCTCGCGTACAGCCGTGGCGCACTGACATTACCGTATTTAGTTAATGATAAAGGAATTGAGTCTTTACACAAACTCTGATTATTTAATCCCAATATTTTTACAACCAAATTTAAAATAGGAATTTTGTTAGTTCAAAAAATCAAAGGTTAATCAGATTGCAAAGATATAGGGATTAGAAAACTCGAGTTTAACTAAATTCAATTTCTTTTAAAACTAGGGGGTATACATACTCCGTTAAATTAGTAAAATTCATATTTCTTAAGTCGAGTTTTACGTTTATGTGAAAGACAAAGGGAAACAAGGGTGGAGAAAGGAAGGGGGTGGGTGTATATTTGATGAATTACAGTGTAAAAGTTTACTATTTATCCAAATTATTCCGAGTCATTTGTTACTTTTCCACACTTTTTATTGATCAGCTGTCTTGAAAATTATACCCTTGAATGATGGGTTTACATCTTTAGAAAATAAGGTAGGGTTGAACCAAAACTTTGACCGAACAACATTTTTTTAAATCAAAGTTTTGAAAAAATATTTGAAAAATTTAATAAAAATGGATTATAAATTGCAATATATGAAGAAAAGTGCGCGAATCTACATGAACTTCCAGAAATAGAATCTTATTTAGGGCGCATTGACTTATATACAAAATATTGATGGTCAGGTTAGAAAATACATATAAATTCTTGCATACCCCTTCACAGGGATTGTAAACGTATAAATTCTTGCTTTCTCCTTTAAAGGGATTGTAAACGTATAAATTCTTGCTTACTCCTTTAAAGGGATTGTAAACGTATAAATTCTTGCTTTCTCCTTTAAATGGATTGTAAACGTATACATTCTTGCTTACTCCTTTAAAGGGATTGTAAACGTATACATTCTTTCTTTCTCCTTTAAAGGAATTGTAAACGTATACATTCTTGCTCACTCCTTTAAAGGGATGTAAATGTAAAAATTCTTGCTTACTCCTTTAAAGGGATTGTAAATGTATAAATTCTTGCTCACTCCTTTAAAGGGATTGTAAACGTAACCCTATCAAAGCTTGGTTGTAAATCATCGAAACAACTCTTTAAAGTGCAGTATTACTAAAACTATGTCTACGCGGTCACTCCCTTTAGTAAATTGGTCAATTAAAATGTCCACGGTGGTTCAATTATTCAAGTTCATTCTTGGTTTTCTTTTATGGACAATCCTGGTTTTTGACATGGTTGAAATGAATAAATTTTGCTTGGTTTAAAATCAAGAAGTTAACATGGGATTTATCCGCTTTTCTTTTTATAAAATAAATTCAATCAGAATATGTGTTTTAAGGCTGTGGATGTCATTAAATTATAAAAAACATTGCTATAGGGACTGTACACATATTTCATGTTACTTTACAATTAAAGATATCCGGTTCACAAAGATACCCAATTAAACCTCTGATCAAAGTAAATATGATATTATTTGAAAAAAATTCACAATTCAACCCTCTTCTTATAAAAGGTGCCTATGTGAATCGGACCTTCTACTTCATAAATAGAAAATCACTTCAAATTACGTCTATATTCTTTTTAAGTAAAAATTTAAATTTTAAAAGAAGGCTTGGAATTGATATTAACCTGAGAAATTAGAGGACAACACGAGTTTAATAAAGTTGATAAATATTTATATTGTATTTATGTATATGTATCTATTTGTACCCCTGAAATGGAATGGTAAAATCAATTTATTTTTATTCTTTTACCATCTCAGATCCTCCCGTTATAAAGCGACAATGTCTGATTCATAACAATGCCTGGTAAAAAATCCTTGTTTTTTTTTTTAAATTGAAACATTTTCCATTCTGGTTTTTCTGTATATAAGAGACCTACATATTTTGCTTGCGAAACAAAATAATATATTAAAGATCGGGTATATGCTTCTCTTTCATCTGAAGGTCACTTGAAAATAATATATTAAAGATCGGGTATATGCTTCTCTTTCATGAAAATAATATATTAAAGATCGGGTATATGCTTCTCTTTCATCTGAAGGGAACTTGAAAATAATATATTAAAGATCGGGTATATGCTTCTCTTTCATCTGAAGGTCACTTGAAAATAATATATTTAAGATCGGGTATATGCTTCTCTTTCATCTGAAGGGAACTTGAAAATAATATATTAAAGATCGGGTATATTCTTCTCTTTCATCTGAAGGGAACTTGAAAATAATATATTAAAGATCGGGTATATTCTTCTCTTTCATCTGAAGGGAACTTGAAAATAATATATTAAAGATCGGGTATATGCTTCTCTTTCATCTGAAGGGCACTTAAAAAAAATATATTAAAGATCGGGTATATGCTTCTCTTTGCTCTGAAGGTCACATGAAAATAATATATTAAAGATCGGGTATATGCTTCTCTTTCATCTGAAGGTCACATGAAAATAACCAAAAAATAATTTCTTTTAATTGATTTCTAACATTGGTAAAAAATAAATAAATTTAAATTTTAACACATTTCCAACCCCGATCCGTGAGCATGGCAGGATATTGACATAAAAATGACCAAAATACCTTCATAAAATTCCAGTGGGGTGGAGGGGTACAAATTTAGAAGAATTGGCATTTGACCCGGACCCCAAGGTCGCTTGACCCTAAATTTAGTGACCCAAAGTGTGCTTTTTTGTGTTGTTTTATTAGCATTAGGAACTACAGGTTGTCTAGATAAAAGTGTTAAATCTAAATATCCGATTACAGGGTGTAGTAGGCCAGGGGAGCTACGGAATTGTAAAGCTAGCCTACAACGAAGAGGATGATAAGAATTATGCAATGAAGATTCTGAGGTAGGTTTCTTTTGTAATTTAAGATTTTGATTTTTACATATTTGATAATTTTATTTTAATTCTAATATCAACAAATTATTTCGATTTTTTAAAGTCGATTTTTCTTTGGTGATAATAAATTTGTTTCTTTTATTAACTTTGTTCTAAATCTGTCTACCTATCTTTATATCTATCTATCTATCTATCTATCTATCTATTTATCTATCTATCTATCTATCTATCTATCTATCTATCTATCTATCTAACTATCTATCTATTCATCTATTTATCTATCTATCTATCTATCTGTCTATTTATCTATCTATCTATCTATTTATTTATCCATCTAGTAAGAAGAAGCTGAAAAAGAAAGCTGGTATATTTGGAAGAGCTGCTCCTAATAGAAAAGGCAGCGGTGGCACAAAGATAAAAACAGCTGAAAATCCTCTGGATAAGGTAATTTTTTAAAGAGACAGTAAGCGTAATTATATTTGCCCTGTTCACAAGGCACCAGGCCTTGGGCCTTAAACCTTTATCTGATCAATAATGTGGAAGATATTGTCATTTTCTAGATTTAAAAGTGTTTAATTTTGATAATTTCTATACGCCCTTCTGCAGTAGATATGCGCAAGTTACTTTTGTAGATAACCCAAAATTGAAAATAATTAGCATTTAAATAAATACATTGATATCTAATTCATACTTCATCAGACATTGCTTTTTAGGGTACATTTGAAAGTTATGCATTGTCATCTTTGCATGAAGGGTTACATGAAATTACGCATACAGCCCCTTTCACCGCTACAAAAACAGAGTTTTGACTAAATTTGCGTCAAATATTTTCAGTTAAAATCAAACTCTTGTCCTTTTATCTAATATTTAATACTAGTATCTGGTGTTTTCCCGCGTATTTCGACTGAAAATTATTTCAAATATGAGTCTGGATCTATTATGTACTTCAGATTGTATTGTATCTTATTAATGGAAAACTTGTTAATCTTGTTTTGAATAAAATATTCATACCGTCACATTGCACGCTAATACGTTTAGTGTCTCCCTTTGCCTCCGATCCCCAAGATGGCGTCACAAAACATTTTTGATGCATCATGTTTACCTCGGGGCTGCCGAACCATACATTATTTAAAGGGACTGTACGTGTAATTCCAAGTGACCCGCGATGCAAAAATGACAATGCCCGGTACCCTTGAAACCTTTGTCTTACAAGTATGAATTAGATTTAATTTATTTTGTAAACTAATTATTTCCAATTGATTATTTCTCTACATGTTTCTGCTGCAGGAAGAAAGTGTAGGAATAATTAGATTTAAACACTTTTACACTTTTCATGGGTATCGTTGTGAATTGGACATTGCCATTTTTCATAGAGGGTCACTTGAAATTACGCTTACTGTCTCTTTAATTTTAAATTCATCCACAAACAACATTGACCCTGAGTGGTAAGACAAAACGGGTGTGGATCGGAAGTTCTGTGAGTAAGTGTGATGTCTTCTGTGTGTCGGAGTAAAAACCTGTTTTTCTTTCTACCCTCAACCTACAGTGCGTGACGTCATGAATAGGGAATATTACCCAAGAGGGGGGAAACCAATTTTTCTCAGGAATAATTGAGAGAAAACATTATCAATTTGAACACACACAAAGAGCTATAAATGTTAAGAGAGAATGATAAAAACATATTGTGAATAAGTTAGAAGTTTTGAATTGTATTTTTGATATTTCGAACATTTACAGAGAAAAATTATATGTTAAAATTGGCTCTTTTTGTAAGAATTGAGGAAAACCACTACCATAAATATTACAAAAGTAAATTAAGCGAGAGAATATTTCATATGCACATATTATTATTGTAATATTATAAAGCAATATTTATTGTGAAAACTAAAGATAAAAAGATAAAAATAATTTAAAGGACTAAATTGATATCTAAATTTAAAAATTTAAACATCTAAAATTAAATTTTTTTTTTAATATTTCTTTAAATTAACAAAAAAAGAATAAAAATAAACTTCCATACAAAATATGAAATAAAAAAAAAATATTGAATGAAAATATGAATATTTATTATGATTTTATTATAAAGCTTAAACTGAAATATTATTTATATTAATATACACTAATGCGGAGCTAATCCTCTTCACTCAGATAAGTGTCTATTTAAAATAACGGAAGAAAGGATTACTGAATACTGTCATAAATTGTACAATTATACAATTGATATACAAGTGATCAGAGCAGAGATAAGAGAGTACAGAGATCTATTCAAGGGTAGAATATGCGATATTTTCCACAACTTAACAGGTTCCATTTTGTACAATTGAAGTACACGACCAATAAATATCAGGGATATTTAAGTATCCTTTGGATACAAAATATAAAACCTTCAAAAAAAGACTGAATTCATAACTTTTTTATTTTGTATTAAAAGTTAAGTATGTCTTTGAAAAATGTAAATTTCAACCCCTAAGTGACGGTTAGATGGCAGTCAAAAACCTTCTGTGAATCGGTGTGTGAGAGCCAACGAGGGTATAGTGCATAGAGTGATGATGTACGCTAATCCTTTACTAATTGTATAAATCAGGAATTATATCGAGAGCGTACTGCATATTTGATTAGTATAAGAAGATTATGGCCTAACCTATAGTATATCATTATAAGTAAACATTTGTAAGTGGACAGTACAGCTAACTGAGCACACAGGTAGAGAACTATCATTCCCCCTGGTGAGAGATTTTAAGCAGTTTGTGTATATCTAGTCTGTGGGAGTGGAGTATGTACGCTAGATTATGAATTAAAAGCATTGTAGACACATATTTGTCTATCGTACATTTTACTCCAGCTGTACTGACGGGGTCAGAGATTTATTTAGATACAGGGTGAAACTAAAGAATAAAACTAAAAAACGACCCAAAACTCTTTGAATATGAAGATTTAAAATAATAAATTCCGCACAGTTGCCTCTGAAGTTTTATCCTATGTCGGTAACCATGTCGCTAAAATTATTATGCACTAGCTTGGGAACTCGGCTTTACCTGGAAACTGAACTTTCCTATAAGATAGCTATAAGTAATATGCACAAGATTGGGAACTCGTCTTTACCTGGAAACTGAACTTTCCTATAAGATACCTATAACTAGTATGCACAAGATTGGGAACTCGGCTTTACCTGGAAACTGAACTTTCCTATAGGATAGCTATAAGTAGTATGCACAAGATTGGGAACTGGGCTTTACCTGGAAACTGAACTTTCCTATAAGATAGCTATAACTAGCATGCACAAGATTGGGAACTCGGCTTTGCTTGGAGACTAACTTTCTCTACAAAAGTCAACTCACTCAGAATCTTTTAATCAAACTTTCCTTGGTTCTACTGAGTTCCTCAATCAAAATTTGGGTCAAATTGGAGTTCATGAGTTTTGATCAGAAATACATACATACATACATACATACATACTGCAGAGAAAAAAAGACTTATATTTAAGTTTTAAGACCGGGTCAAATTTGTAGTGTCGCAACGCCTTGGCTTTAATGTTTTGTGTAGCCCCGCATTTTATATCACAAACGCAGTTGTTTCTAGCTTCCTAAACTTCATTACTTTACAGGGTATAAGAGTGTGGGAACATTAAGCCTACACAAGACATGGTGTTATGGTTTTATCTAGGTATCGTGTATTAGGAGATTGCAACAATTATGATTTTGTCTAGGTATCGTGTATTAGGAGATTGCAACAATTATGGTTTTATCTAGTTATCGTGTATTAGGAGATTGCAGCAATTATGATTTTGTCTAGGTATCTTGTATTAGGAGATTGCAACAATTATGGTTTTATTTAGGTATCGTGTATTAGGAGATTGCAACAATTATGATTTTGTCTAGGTGTATCGTGAGATTGCAACAATTATGATTTTATCTAGGTATCGTGTATTAGGAGATTGCAACAATTATGGTTTTATCTAGGTATCGTGTATTAGGAGATTGCAACAATTATGATTTTGTCTAGGTGTATCGTGAGATTGCAACAATTATGATTTTGTCTAGGTGTATCGTGAGATTGCAACAATTATGATTTTATCTAGGTGTATCGTGAGATTGCAACAATTATGATTTTGTCTAGGTGTATCGTGAGATTGCAACAATTATGATTTTGTCCAGGTGTATCCTGAGATTGCAACAATTATGATTTTGTGTAGGTGTATCGTGAGATTGCAACAATTATGATTATGTCTAGGTGTATCGTGAGATTGCAACAATTATGATTATGTCCAGGTGTATCGTGAGATTGCAACAATTATGATTTTGTCTAGTTGTATCGTGAGATTGCTACAATTATGATTATGTCTAGGTGTATCGTGAGATTGCAACAATTATGATTATGTCTAGGTGTATCGTGAGATTGCAAAAATTATGATTTTGTCTAGATGTATCGTGAGATTGCAACAATTATGATTTTGTCTAGGTGTATCGTGAGATTACAAAAATTATGATTTTGTCTAGATGTATCGTGAGATTGCAACAATTATGATTTTGTCTAGGTGTATCGTGAGATTGCAACAATTATGATTATGTCTAGGTGTATCGTGAGATTACAAAAATTATGATTTTGTCTAGGTGTATCGTGAGATTGCAATCATGAAGAAACTAGATCATCCTAATGTTGTAAAGCTGGTGGAGGTTCTGGACGATCCTGAAGACGATCAACTGTATATGGGTAATCTAAATTTCTATCTATCTAGCTATCTTTCTATCTATATCCATCTTTCTATATATATATATAGCTATTTTTCTATATAGCTATCTAGCTACTGTGGTAGGTGATTTTATCAATATAATAAATACAACTTTTGATTTTAATTTTCGGTATATATCAAGCTTTAAAACAGCATGGATACACAAAAAAACATGGAAAAAAAGAAGTTGTCAATTAAAAAAGCTTCTTTTTAACTACTTGTACTAGTAATGCGAAAAAAAAGTTTCTTAACAATTAAAATTTAAATAAAAAGTCTATATCTACCTATCTATTTATCTATCTATCTATCTATCTATCTATCTATCTATCTATCTATCTAGCTAGCTAGCTAGCTAGCTATCTATCTATTTATCTATCTATCTATCTATCTATCTATCTATCTATCTATCTATCTAGCTATCTAGCTATCTAGCTATCTATCTATCTATCTATCTATCTATCTATCTATCTAGTATTTGAGATGCTGGAGCGAGGTGAAGTGCTTGAAGTTCCAACTGCTGAACCTCTAGGAGAACAAGGAGCATGGTCTAGCTTTAGAGATGTTCTTCTTGGTCTAGAATATCGTGAGTATCTTAAACCCTGGAGGCTGGCATCGTTTTTTCAAAGGACGAAATTTTTGAGAACGAATAAAATTTTTCAGAAAAAAACTAACGATTTTACTGAACGATCGTTTAGTGACAAAACTATAGCAAACCTGATGGAAATTGAACGAGAATTTTTAGAACGAATGAAAAAAATGTTCAATTCACCATAATAACATTCAAGCTTTCTCTGATCAATATACGTCGACAAGACATCGTCGTTCTTTAGAGAGAAATATACGGCCAACCAGATTTTAGAGAGAAATATATCTCCAACCAGATTTTAGAGAGAAATATACGGCCAACCAGATTTTAGAGAGAAATATATGGCCAACCAGATTTTAGAATGAAATATATCGCCAACCAGATTTTAGAGAGAAATGTATGGCCAACCAGATTTTAGAGAGAAATATATCGCCGACCAGATTTTAGAGAGAAATATACGGCCGACCAGATTTTAGAGAGAAATATATGGCCAACCAGATTTTAGAGAGAAATTTATCACCAACCAGATAATATATCGCCAACCAGATTTTAGAGAGAAATATATCGCCAACCAGATTTTAGAGAGAAATATATCGCCAACCAGATTTTAGAGAGAAATATATCGCCAACCAGATTTCAGAGAGAAATATATCGCCAAACAGATTTTAGAGAGAAATATATCGCCAACCAGATTTTAAGGAGAAATATATCTCCAACCAGATTTTAGAGAGAAATATATCGCCAACCTGATTTTAGAGAGAAACATATCGCCAACCAGATTTTCTGTAAACATACTGAAAAAGACATTTTAGTTTTCTTTCTGATTTAAAGGTTGCAAGCTCTCAAGCAAACTTTGCCAATTACTTTTTTAAAAACAAGTGCTTTATAGTGCTAAAATGTACATGTAAAGGGCTACAGAAAAGCATAAGTGAGTTAGTGTCGAAAAATCAAAGCCCAAGGCGTTGCGAAACTTCAAAGTCGACCCTGTCTTAAAAATTGATAACACTTTTTATAAGCAGGCTAAATATATGTGGATTCTCACAATTTTGTTATGTTTCTGCAGCAAAACTAAGAATTTTTCATTTATCAGAAAATGGTTAAAGCTAGAATAGAATAGAAAGGAAGCTGTTGATTGAAAAAACGTTTACAGTCCCTTTTAAAATGGCTTACGCTTAAATATGCTTAAATAATAATGTCAGTATAAAATCTCTTTTGGAATTTTTTTGAACATTTGATTTTTTTTTCTTGAATTAAATTCAATATTCTACGGTTGGTGAATTCAGATTATTTTACATTTACAAGGTAAACCTTTAAATCTCTAGTAAAGGATGAATGTGATAATTTTCTTTTCTCTCGGAAAATTGATCATTTTCAATTCTAATTTCCTACAACAAAGGAAATGATTTCAAATTGGCAAAATCGTTCTTCATATTGTTACATACGTATATCAGGTTTAAAGGGACTGTAAGCGTAATTTCAAGTGACTCTTTACTTTCCGGTTCACAATGATACCCTAAAAATCGTTGTATGATAAAGTATGAATTAGATCTCAATGTTTATAGATTAAAAAACTGATTTTTAAAATTGTAATTTGTTAGCATTCTACTGCACGAAAAGATATACGCCGAATTATTAGTGTTTAAAACTTTTGAACCTAGAAAAATGACAAAGGTTTCAAGGGTACCATTATTAATCGGATATTGAGATCATTGCATGGAGGGTCGGTTGAAATTACTCTTAAAGGGAGTGTCTGGCTATGTAAGGTAGTTGAACTGAGTATGCAGTATTGTCAAAAGCTTCTTGCGGCTTCATTTGAGCCATATTAAACATTTGAAAGATCTGTAAATCCTGAGTTTGAGCGCAAAGTCGACGCTCAAAACTCCTGAATTGCGGACGGCCATCTCACAGAATGAGTTTTTTTAAAATTATTAATTAACGACGATATAAAATGTAAAAAAGTTATATAACAAATATGTAATAGGCAATGCGCGGAACACTTTGAGAAAATAAAAATTAATTGTCATAATAAAAATAAAGGAAATATATTTTATTTTC